TAACGCCGAGTTCACTTTGAATGTTCCACAAGAATACTGTATTAAGAACACAACTTGCACCCCAGGCGGGATTCTAACCCGCACCTCTTGCTCACCAGTAGCGTACCTTAGAGCGCCCTTGCCCGGAAAGCGAGAGGTGCAGATTGAAGTCCCGCCTGAGGCAAAAGTTTTCTTCCCAGTATTCTTATAAATCACAATAGTTTTATTTTGCTCAGAAGGAGAGAAAATCAAGAGACAGTTTTGATAACAGGCAGAATCCCTCCCGCCTCTATGAATTCGCCATTTCAATTCGAACACTGTCACGCGCAACCTTCTTATTCTGACCCGTTCACGCTCGTTTCCGTGCGCTGTAGAAACTTTTCAATGAACTGAGAAGCAGTTACAGTTGGCATTCTGTGAACACAAAATCGTAATGTCGCATGATCGCAAACGCCATAACGCATAGTGTAGATGCGATCCTGGCCGTGTGTCATCTTTCGCTTTACTTCACTCTCATTTCTCGCCATCGTCTTTTTTTCTTGCTTTATGGATGAATTCATTGCAAATTCGTGCTTGCTTTGTAAAATGGAAGTGCCTTCCCTTGCAAAAATGTTCACTTTAGCATTAGCCCAGTGCGATCGCGTCTGTGACCTTGCGAGTTTGCGACGAACGTTAAATCTGACTCTCAGACGCATCTTATCCCTTCCCGTCGCCGATGGAGACTACTTTTTTCTGCTGGCCAAATTCCAATCAGTACATTTTTTCAGATAAAACGTGAACTAACAGAATTGCTGAGACGAGACGGCTACACAAACATTAGTCAAGCTGTAGGTGCTGATCATAGGATATGACAAGAATGCCTCACTTATACTGATGACGTGTCATTCCACATTTCACTTTGTTATTTATTTGCTCACAATGAAATAAGAATCCTAATATAAATCTTTCATATCATATTAATCACAAATCATAAAATTGTTACGGCACATACCTACTAACACCACCTATTATTTACCACAGCCTATCCCAAAAAACTAAAAAATAACTTAAATTTGGCACCCTCAACAGATGTCATGAGATATGATGACGTATGGAATAGATAAAAACTGAATCATGGCAAAAAACGTTAATTTATAAAAATAACAAACTATTTAATTCGTGTGTCTACAAAGGTTCACCGTGAATAATAGATTCCGGCACTAAGAGGTCCATCCGTGATTCGACAAGTCGTAACTCACAAGTTTTCCTTGAGTTCGAATCAACTTGCGCTGGAACAAAATATAAAGTTGAAAAGTTTCCATTATAGCAACATAGTGTCAAATACGGAGGAAGGTTGGATCGGCATTGTGGATATCCGGCATATTTCAAATTTTTCTTTGAAAGCGGAAGTTCAGGAAAGCTGATGTGTTGTTACGGTGTAAGTGACAATATAGATGCAAAGAGCGCCTTTAGAAGTGAAAAAAAACGGAGGAACCGTCGACTAGGACAAAAATGAAGTGCCCCTCTTCAGCGGCGATATGAAATCGCATTGATTTGTGGGTGGAGTCAATGGTATTGAACGGGGCCGATGCTGCATCCTGGGAACTTGGCGCTATGGTCTTATTAAAGCATTCCCATATTTATCTACATGCTCCTCTCCTGCCTACCACTGTA